ACAACATAGACATACTACAACATTTTATGGCTGTCCCTGTGACACATAATACTGCTGATCGACCGCAGCTTCCCCTCCCATTGCTAGATTCCTGGAAAATGGAGACACATGTAGAGTGGGATATTCCCAGTGTAGACACTGTAATGAATATGGGCACAAGAAATATAACACTGTTCAATATTTTTGTTTCCCCTTCAATCAAAGACAAAAGTGTTTCTTTCCAAACACTGTGGGTTTTTTGCTTCCTGTAGAGATATCATGTTTCAAAAATATTTGATTATCCTGTCAAGAATACTAAAATATAAAAAAAAAAAGATGTGCAGAGTGGAAATAGAGTAAAAGTGAAAAAAAGTGGTTTTCAGGCATATAAATTATTTTGCTTCAGTAGCAGAAGAGTCATGAATATGAATAGTGCTGAATTCTAGAAAAACAATTTGTCATTATTAAAATTAGTGCTTTGTCAACACAAAAAACTCACTTCCAGCTTGCTTTTTGGGCTGCTGCACAACCAGCTGCATTAAGGCCTCAAGTGTTCTGGGATTCATTATCAGTGAATGGGTCTCTGAATCATAAGGTACCAGACAAGTCTGTCATCCATAACAGAAGACTGTTCAAGATGTGAAATATATTAAACACCTGAAACAGAAAGAGGTATTTCTGTGGTCAGTCTAGCATAAAGCTGCTTGGTATTAGTAAATGAACACTTGACAGTTTTGCATTTCTTAGCCATGACATCCCATTTACACATTAAGAAACACAACATGCTGCCATCTAGATCCAGTTATTAGAGGCTGCTCTTGGAGCAACTGTGCAACAGCATTTTCTGAGCACAATGGAAAAAGATGGAACAGCAAAATCCATTTTTCTGAGAGACATTCATGCAAGAGAGGAGCAGAGAAGAACAGGAAAGACACTACCACATTTCTACAAGAACAGGATGCTGCACCATGTATTTCCCAGTGTCTTGGGTTTGCACAAGGTTGAGCTACACTCCTGCTTTACTTTGTATGTGTTAATTAGTCCCTTCTTGCAAATGTTTTTTAAGAGGTGCAGAAGTGAGGAAAAAAGTGGTTAAAGACAGTGAACAAGCTCCTCTCAGAGAAGCAGGATTCACACGTAAGACTTATCTCTGTTCCTGGTCTGTTCCAGCAATGGGGAAAGGCCAAAGGATGAGCAGAAGGAAAGGACCTAAAAGGGAACAATGATCCTATTTAATTATTGAAGGCTGAGTGAGGTAGAGCAAATGTATACATAACTTTTATAACTGATTTTTCAACTGCAAGTTCTAGATCGATGGAAAGGCGCAAGTTCAAATATCAACATATATGGGCCAATATTTGATTCCTAGTATCACATACTGGGTCATCTTAGTGATCCTTCAGACTGGCCAGGTACACCAGTGAGCTTAGTTGGGTTACACTTCAGCTGAAAGCTGGAGCTCTAACAGTCCTTTTTCCAGGAATTTCTGTTCTGGAATGTAGCCATATGGTATTCTCAAGGAGAAGCCAGAAGCTTTGCGCGAATTTCATAATTGTTTCAATTCACTAGGATAAATGGCAAGGACATAGGTGGCTATGGAGCATAGGCTCCTGGGATCATAGATCAAACAGCCTTGCTTAGTATCAGCTCCTGTACAAACACACACAACTGTAGATTTCCCTCAGGCTGGAGGGATTCCCACACACAAAGACAAATATGATTTCCAGTCTTAGAGGAGACCAGCATTCTAGTGCTCTCCAGAGACAGGTAGCTAACCTTTGTCCAAAAATGAGTGCTTTTAGTTAAGACTGTATTGAATTTGGCAGTTATAGGAGGAAATAAACCTCTATTCTGCACTAATAGGTACACGGGGCTATGGATCTGGAGAAAGTGCACTAACTCTGAGTAGAGAAGGCAGTTTAAGCAGATCCAGCATTGTTTATATTCCAATAATTTTGAAGCAAGCTTTTTATTTTCCTCTACTAAGATAACCTAGATTTCATTTAATGTATATGTTGCAAGCATGCAAGTACAAATATTACATATAGAAAATTCCATGTATATCTATAATTTCTGGATATAACTGATTCTAAAAAGTCCTGGAAGAAAGAACTAGATAGCAAAATTGTGTGACGACCCTGTCATTAGTTTACAGACAATCTCATAGCACAGAGACCAATTGCCAAAGCTGATGAGATACTACATCAGAACAAACTACAGCATCACTTGAGCACTGCTGTCCTGCAGAGTGACTGGGCTGGCCCCAGTGGGGGAACAAACTGACACACAGTTGACATCACTTCCCATAACATGTTTGCTATAGGCTGTGTAGTGACCGCAAAGGGTTTTACTCAGTATCTTTCTGCACATTTGTGTAACACAGATTGCTTATGCTAGTTTAACCTCAAGACTAATGCAAAGCAGACAGAGCCCTGTCCCCAGCCTCAGGAACCTGAAAGAATTTATTGCCTCTGTAGCGCACTGTTGCACAGAACGGGATCCTAACTCCCTCCTGAAAGTATTATCCCACCTGGTGAAGTGCTGCCTGCCTGTGTTCTTTTTGTCACAGAAAGTATAAAAGCAAAGCTCCTTCTCTTTTATTTGCCTATTTTGCATAGAGCACTGCAAGAGGGGACAGTCGCTGATTTTCACTGGTCTCCTCACTCTTGCCCCTAAGCCTGGTTCTGAAGCCCTTTTGGGCACACCAAAAGAGCCCAGTAAAGAAGTGCACTGGCACTGTGCAGCCCAGCACCACCCTCAAGGCCCACCACAGCAGCACTGTGCTAGCTCAGCACATTTCTAGACTACTGCATTTTCTATGGATTGAGGCATCAGCATGAAAACTGACTTTTGTGTCCCTCCATGCTGTAAACATGAACAGTTAATACCCATCTCCTTTTGTCTCAACTGATTCAGAGACAGATAGCAAAGAATTAGCTGTGGTTTTATCCCATCTATTATGCACCACACTTGGGGGATTTTCACTTTAAAAAAATAAAAAATAAAAAAAAAATCAATGGAATAAAAGAAGTCAAGAGAGATGTCCCAGATCTTTTGACTCCATAAAGAGTGATCAATTGGAACCTTTGTATTGGGCTGCAGCTTAATGAAACTCTGAAAATAAGCTAATATACATCTCCTATAAGTACCTTTTAACATTAAGAAAACCTCATTCTAATTCAAGTGTAAAGAAAGCAAAAAGAGCAAGTAGATCTACTTGCATACTTTATTTGCTGCAGTAATATTACATTGCTGCAACAATATTAAATGTCATTGACAGACCCTCTAGTACTTATAAAAAACACTCCTGAGACAAGATAATATTCTCTATCAACATTTCCTGTGTTTTCCACCATTTTAAAACTGGGTTGCAGGAAGCATTTGTCATATCGCAAAGAAGCTGAACTCTAAATTTAAAAGGATATGTTTGTATTGGTATTTCTGGGGGAGTGATGGAGAAGGTCAGTAGACTGCAAGCCCAAAGAAGATTCATGGCCTTCCTTCTGTTTCTGGGGTACCACATATGGACCTGCCCAAAGTCTAGGGCAATTTCAGTGTTCACTCCAGTTAAGTCAAGCCCACAGAACACAGACCTTGCACAGCTGACAATCTTTGCTCAAGAGAGGCTCAGTACAGAATGAAAGTGAGGAACAAATTACCTTTTGTGGAATAAAGTGAGCACAGGGTAAACACACTGCAGATGGGCCGTAAGGGACACTTTGTCCTAAGCTCCATCCATCTTCACCTTATAGAAGAATGAAAAGCCTTGTCAATAATTTAACAAACTAATGGCCATGATTTTAAGCATTGTGGGCTAATGCTCAAAGCACCATGTTGGCAGAGCAAGATGGTTTAAGTGGAAAGCATGTGGTTTTGCATTCCATGGTTATTTTGAAAGTCAGGACACAGTATTTTTATCAGCAGCCCTTTCTTCTGCTAGAACAAAACCCTGGGACTGCACACCAGCAAAAAAAAATGACCTACATTGTGTGTGCAACATTACCACTTTGATGTCATTTCTTGATAACAGCATAATTAAATTGCACTGTCATTGCGCATCCTATCTTAGGCCAATTTACTGAGTAGAAGAGTCAAGTAACAACACTCAGTCTGATAGTATCTTCATAAAACTGAAAAATTACCATCTACAGAGAAATGAGGCCTTTGCAGCTGCAAAACTGAGTTTAATCACCCCATGTAAAGAAAATACTGGGAAATATATTCTTCATGTTATTCTTACAAATTATCTTAATCCCTCTGAAAGAAATTATAAGATCTACAGAGCAGCGGACACATACAGGAGAACCAGAGTAAGGCTGACAAAAAGGCAGCCTTATTGGCTTTAAGGAGAAAACAATGACAGTGATATTTAGCTGAGATACCATCATTCACAAAGGCTTGAAATCTTTACATTTCAGAACTTACCTACTTCCAGCTATGCCAATTTAAACAAATTAGCCAACCTTCATTCATAGGAGACACCATATTAGTCAGAATTTCAGGTTAATTCCATAAATAGCAGCCCTGAAATTAAGCTTTGCCTACATGTCTGAAGAGCTGCGAGCTGTCTCCCTCAGATGTTCCGAAGTGCTGGGGATTCATAACCGAGGGCTCACATTTGCCAGCACCTTCCAGACACCTGCCCAGGGATGAGGAACAGCAAAGTAAACTTAAAGCATGCAATAAACAGTTTCTATGTTGCTTGTAAAAAGAACTCAAAACATAATATTGACAAAAATATCTCCAAGAGCAACTCCTGAATGCTACTCCATGGGGAGCTCTTGAGCAATACATCCCTTCAGATAAGGGATTTTAAAGAAATAGTGCACACATGAGAAGTTTGGAGATGTGACCCTCACAGAGAAGACAGGAAGTGCAACTAGTTTAACATTTTTATTGCCTTTTGGTTTGGGGTGTGTACAGGGTTTAGCAAACCTCTTGGAGCCCCTGTGCCCACCTTTCCATCCAGATGCCGCTATCTCCTGATACCCTGTAACTGAAAAGTTTCTCTTGCCTCCCAGATCAGCATCTTCATGACCCATTTATCTAATTATGGGAACGATCGCCTGGGCTTATACACCTTTGTCAACCTGGCCAACTTTGTTAAAAGCTCAACTAACCTGAACCTGCAGACACTGCCCCCCGTTCAGCTGGCTCAGAAGTACTTTGAGCTCTTTCCAGAGCAGACAGACCCTCTTTGGCAGGTAATATCACATCTTCTTCCTCCTCCAATTACAAGCCATTTGTTGAAATAAGAATCTTTTCCTATAAAAAATATAATAATCCCCCTTCATGTTCAGGTACATTATTTCTTCCTGCATGCTACCTTAGATTATTTACGTATCCTTGAGACACCACTGCTTTTGACCAGAAATGGATTAGCTTCCACTCCCCCTAACTCAGGCATGGTAAAAGCCCCTAATTGCCACTTATGTGTGAGAAAGCTTCCCTTCCCATCCTCCCTGTTTGTAGTTCTGCTGATGCATTGCCTTGTGTTCACTAATTGTGTGGCACTACCCATAAGATGCTCTCAACCAGCCAGGTGTAAGAGATGCAGAGTCATTGGAACCCTCAATGGGAAATCACTAACATTGGATCACTGTAGCTACCAGGAGGGTTTCCTACCACCTGAAACCCCTTCAGTGGAACAGCAAGGAAAAGGGAGAGCCAGAGGGGTCAGCAGCAAACACAGAATGGGCAGTTCTGTTTAAGAATGAAGAGGGTTTCTGTATAGACTATATGTTTCAAATGCGATGTTTGTAACCTCCTTCAGCACTGTAATTACCTAATCATTGTTACAGAAGTCTGGCTCTTATTCAGAATATGATATGCCAAGCTGTGCTTTCAACTATGTAGGTATAAATCCAGAGTGACACCAGGGAGATCTGGGCAGTTATTCTGGGCTTATCCTAGCAAAAAGGAACAGAAATTTTCCCTGTTATTTTTGGTCCAGATGCAAAAGAAGTCTAAATCTATAATATTTCCACTGGCATCAGTGGAACAGCAATTCAAATCAGTTAATAATTTTCTCCATTTTATTTTGTTAACTTTATTCACTAGCAGAAAGTATCTTCTATTACCAGCCAATACTATGCAAAAACAGTATGCATGTGATAACTGCTTTAAGAAGTAGTCAATCCTAACTTTTTCTGTGGCATGCTTTGTTCACACATTTTTATTTTGCATTCATAGGTAGTAGAAAGATAAGGAGATGAATAATATCCCACATTTCTATTTTGTTCTTCCTTTTGGGTGTTTATGTAAATTATAATTGGCACTAAGTTCCATATATCTGAAACCATTTTGTCACCTAAGAAAGTAATGCCTTGAAGCTATTCAGACGTTTCCATTTTAACCTCAAATGAATACTTGATTAAATCAATTTTTTAATGTTTTTTTCTTATTTTCTTTTTTTCTAATGAGTGAACTTAATCCTCAGTCATGCAAAACCATTACATACACATTGATTTTTACTCAAAGAGACCACCTAGGTGCCTAAAAACTCTGAGTTTATGAAATGAGCCCAGCTAATGGAGAGAAGGAAATGCAGTAGTCTCACAGGGTGTGGATTTTGACACCAATCCTTCCAGGATTTGCACAACTGTGTAGCCTTACTGAGTTCTCTGGGACCCCTGGAAGGACTGGTCCTGGAAGATACCTGAGAGTTTGATCCCTGTGTACCTGAATGCTCAGTACCAGATCAATATCTGCCACAAGTAAACTCTTATGAGGAAATACGGGATTTTACTACTTAGTGTAAGGCTCTGGCATTACTGCCTAACACTTCCCACCTGCAAAGACTTGCAAATATTTAGGATACCCCAGCATGATGTACACAACTGCCTTTTCTTCTTCAGAACCCATGTGATGATAAACGACATAAGGATATTTGGTCAAGAGACAAAACTTGTGACCACCTACCCAAATTTCTGGTGATAGGACCCCAGAAAACAGGTAAGAAGTAATGAATTTGTAACCGAAGCTGGCCACCCAGTTTTGCACCTGTGTATTTGTGTTCTGTAAATTGAAACCAACTCCCTGCCTTAGGAAGGGTTCACTTCCAATCCCTGTGGAATTCGGACAGTAACTCCTTCGCTGCCAACAGAGAGGGACAACTGTTTGTATAGTAAAATTGCACTCACTTGACATAACAAAATGCTGCTGTCAGGCTGCCTTGTGTTAGGATTGCTATTAAGTTCTTTGACAAATTATTTCAACATTGTTTAAGAACCTGACAATAAATGTACTTAACACCCTGCAGACCTCTGAGGGTCTCAGGGCATTATTTAAATTAAGCCACCAATTCCTTTCCCAAGATAGTGATTACTGTTGTGGACATACTACACAAAGAGGATGCTGAGGCCGGGAAATAATCGACTAATCCAAGATCATACAGAAATACTGTGACAGTGACAGAGACAGCAGGTTTTAATCCATAGTCCAATGACAGCTTGCATAGCATGAAAACATCGAAGTGCAATTTTAAAGAGACATTCTCCAAAATTTTGTTTACCACCATATAACATTTCCAGTTGTTTTTCTCAAACAAATAATGAATAAGTACTGTTACTGGGATTTGAAAGCATACTTACCACATACAGGCTTAATAGCATTGAAACAGAATTTTTATTCCTCAGTAGCAGACCCCCAGAACAAATGCACAGAGGGCAAAAAGACAGTTCTGGGAGCAACAAAAACATAGTCCCACAGTTAATGCTTTTGAGAAGTTTTGTGCAACATGAATAGTTTGAAAACAAAGATGTGCAGGCCTAATTGCCTCAGAGGTTTAAATACAGAGTCAAGCAAGCAATGCCTTCAGCAGCAATATCAGGCTTGTATCACACAGCAGAATTCAGGGTTTGGAAATGACAAAAGCTCAAAAAGCAGAAGAGTCTGCACGTATCCCACATCCCTCTGAAAGCCCCTTGTGCTTACACAGGCTTTTCATCAACAGGCAACTTCCTTATAAAAGGTAATCTAATTTTCCTGTATATCTCAGCATGCATTGATTTAAAGTACTTTCTTGAATGAATAAGGTCAAAGGTGGAGATTTTTTTACTATTTCCTAATGGCATCTCTTTTTGTTGTTGTAGGAACAACAGCCCTTTATTTATTTCTTCTGATGCATCCTTCCATTATCAGCAATCTTCCTAGTCCAAAAACTTTTGAAGAAGTTCAGTTCTTCAATGGAAACAACTATCACAAGGGAATTGACTGGTAAGAAGAATAACAAAAAAAGAAGCATCCATTATTAATACATGGTAAACCATAATGGAACAATTACAGAAGCATGTATGACATCAACATAATTACTGGATGAATTTGTTATGCTTGACATTATCAAACAAAAAGAAACTAATTTGTAATGATGGGACATTTAATCAAGTCCTTAATTTTTTTTAGATATCACAGTCACAATTTTCTTATTTTTTCATCAATGAACACAATAGACATCTCAGTTATGATGGCTGTCCTCATGCTGAATAGAAACTCTCTTTTCATAACTGTTTCTATACTGAATTATACTCTTTTTTCAAAAGTGGCTTTTCATGAAGTAACATTTGATTTGTCTCTTCTTGAGAAAAAAACAAGTGTAGAGCATTTCATATGGTATTCCTATCACACTTTTAAATATTGCTTTTACTATTTATTTCTAAGAAAAGCATTTGTGTAAGGCTTTCTCAGCAGTTCTCATCCTTGTGTGAAAGCCTAAATGTAAGATAAATGTCACACTCCACAGGTTAATCTGGAGTGGTTTCCTTGCTGGCATACGGCATGGACAGTGTGTGGAGTGAACAGGCCTGACTGATGTAAGCAGGCTGTGCGGCAGCCACAGCACCAGCTGCTCAGGTCAAGGTGGCACAAACAATAAGGGGAAAGAGAAAGAAATGCTTGGTGTTTGTTGTTCCATACTACATAAAGAGCAAGTTCACCATGGCCATCCTACATTACATGTGTAATACATGTGGCGAAGAAGGAGTGGTGGTGGGGCAGGGGGGTTTCTCTCCTCTGCAGCCCCGTGTAACACGTAGACGAAGAGGCCAGCCTTGGCCAGCCTCTTGGAGACTCCTTCTGCCAGGCATCACCAAAACTGGCCTGCAGGTTCCAAAGTCAGTGGGGTCCTGGGCAGAGGGTGAGCCCTGCCTACTTTGTTTCTATAGAAGGACAAAAAACAGTGAGTCCCACCAAAACTGGAAGCCCCAGGGTGCTCAGTGAAATCAAAGGGACCCGAAAATACCTCCAGAGAAATTTCACCTTTTGTTTCATTTGAATTTTTCACCCTTTCAGTTGAACCTTCTCTTCTACTTTTAATTCTAATCAGTTTTAAGTGGAAAAGACTATTCAAAGCCAAAATTCAAATTTTACATTCTGAAAATGTCTAAAAGGAAAGATTTGCTGGCTCCAAAATGAAGTATTTTAACAAGGTTAAAAATTAAATGGTTGACATTTTGAAGCTTTTCCCATTTTCTTCTGCAGCTAAATCAAACCCATTCCAAACTGATGAACTTCTTAGCAAAAATCCCATCCATCAAAGGAAAAACCTAACTACCTGACTTCATGGAAGCTTTGGCTATTACCAATACCATGTAAGAGCCAAGATGTGTTCCCCCTATTCCAGTTCTGGAATGAGCTGAGAAATTCAACTTTGCTTCTTGAGCATTATGCCTGAAAACCCACCTTTTCACCTACAAGGAAATGGGAAGCAGAGAGATATGACCCTTTTGTCATTTTTGCTAATTCTAATGAGTTCCTTCACCTCCCAGGTACATGGATTTCTTCCCCATTCCTTCCAACACCACTGACCTTGTCTTCGAGAAAAGTGCCAACTATTTCCATTCTGAGGATGCCCCTAAGCGAGCTGCTTCCCTCATCCCCAAGGCCAAGATCATCACCATCCTCATCGACCCATCTGATCGGGCATATTCTTGGTACCAGGTACACACCTTGCCTTTGAGAAATCAGCAGCAGGGGATGATGGCCAACATTTGTGGGAATTTGAGCAACCCCTTGAGCAAGAATTAGGGTTACCTAATTTGAACTCTGTAGAAGTGGAAGGATGCTGAGTGCCAGCTTTTGCAGTTGGCATCTGTGACACTGGTGTCATAAATGATGAAACTTCTCAGCACAGAGCTGCCACCAGCTGTAAACAAACAGTTTAATCTCAATTACAACTGACACCGCATCGAGGAAAAGCAGTGTGCCTCGCCCAAGGGAATACACGGGAGAAATGAGCATAGACTAGCTAGAAAATCAGAGCTTTTCTCTTGATGCTGAGAATCTGGTACATCATCCCATCCTCCAGCATGTAAGCCAAGCTACGTGGGGTGGTGTGCATATGTATGCAGTGCCTCCTAAAGTTTCCATGGAGTTAAAAAGGGCTGTGCCTGGAGAACAGGGTTTTTTTTCCCTTTCCTTGGAAAAAAAAAGAAAGCCTGTTGTTTTTCTGAGGAAACTCTAGGAAGCACTTTATCTTTTACCAAGTGTCCTTGATTTGCCAAATTGATTCAGAGAAAACTCCAGGAACAAGCTTGCCAACAAAGTTTTCAAGCTGACAAGCAGGTATTCTTTATTGCGGTGCCGGGAGACACAGGGGATAGCTCCTCCTAACGTGTGTCTCCCCATTGCCACACAAACCATCCTTTTATAGCCACTGGGCATACATACATATTCATGAGGCTACGTATGGATTACATCATTTTCCAGGAAGTTCCCCGCATGCATACAGAATTGTGGTGGTGGTCTCTGAGGGTCGTTTACTTCCTCCAACAATCTTCATCACTTCTGGCAGCCTTTGAAGCATGCACAGTAGATGCTCATACCAGTTTAATTGGTTCGTTAGCACCAGAAACATAATAATCCTCCTATCCTCCTACTTATCAGTTAGTTTAACTGTAGCCCATCCTGGACACCAGAGGCTCCCAGATACTCCTTATCCTGCGTCCTGTTCTTCTAGACTGTTTTTTTCTTAAAACTATGTCAACTGCAACGATTTATCTTGTGAGAATTCTCAGTATGTTCTCTAGCTGCACTCTATTTTTTTTCTATGTATCATGCGCCTCAGTAATTTTCCATTGCTACTGTTACAAAGCCTTCAAACTTAACATTACCTAAAACTAATTCTAAAGATTTCTATATTCCATTTTGTGCCCCCCCCCCCCCCCCTTTGTCTCAAGGTTCAGCTGTGTTTTTGACTTTCAGCCTGGGAACAAAAAACAGCTATGTTCTTAATTGTTGCTGCTCAGTAATGTTTACTCTGACAAAGGACTTTCTCAGTCTCATGCTCTGCCAGGGAGGAGGGGAAGTCGGGAGGAAGCAGAGACAGGACATCTGATCCAAACTAGCCCAAGGGATATTCCATACCACAGCACGTCATGCCCAGTATATAAACTGGGGGAGTTACCTGGAAGGGCTAAATCGCTGCTCGGGTTGGGCTGGGTATCGGTCAGCAGGTGGTGAGCAGTTGTATTCTCTTCCCTTGTTATTTCACTTATCATTATCATTATTGGTGGTAGCAGTAGTGATTTTGTGTTATACCTTAGTTACTGGGCTGTTCTTATCTCAACCCATGGGAGTTACATTCTTTTGATTTTCCTCCCCATCCCTCCAGGAGGAGGGAGGGGAAAGAAGTGGGGGGAGTGAGTGAGCAGCTGTGTGGTTCTAAGTTACCGGCTGGGCTTAAACCACAATACCAAGCCTATGTCTTTGCATAAGAAAGTCTACTCTACTTAAAAAACATATTTGTAAAATATGGTGTAATCATACAGATAAAGGGCATATTGAAAGCAGAGTTAAAACAGACACGAATTACTAATGTTGCAATCAGCATAAAATACGCCATTTCTGATACTGGTGTTATGATTTCTGCAAGGAATAAAACATGGTCTAGGGCTGCAGTCTGCACCATTTTTAATAGCTCACTTGCACCTTTACAATTGTCAATGTGCAAGATGCAAAGCAGTAAAAAATTGTGTATATTTTGGCAAAATTTGGCTTCTCAACTCCCCTCGCACTGTGCCAGCACAGCCCTCCCAACAGATCTTGGGAGGCTCATGGCTTCATCCTCAGCATCCTTGTGATACCTGCCTAATATCTCCCATTAGCACCAGCGATCCCATGAGGACCCTACTGCCTTGAAATTCAATTTTTATGAAGTCATTACATCCAGCCAGTGGGCGTCCTCAGAGATAAGGACCCTCCAGAAGAGATGCCTGACACCCGGCTGGTATGCTGTCCATATTGAACGATGGTTAACTCATTACCCTGCTTCACAGGTAATTTTCAACCTGTTGTTTAACCAAGCTTATCAAAGTCCCAAAAATGAGCATGGCCTCATCACTAGAGGTGCTGGGATAGTTCCCACTGCAACTCTGAGCTGATAGGAAATGCAGCTCTAACACGACCAGGCTATTTCGCAGAAGTGTGTTGATTTTTCTGTTTTCTGATGGAAAAGATGCAATGGGAAAATGCTACGAACTGCGGCCACATGGGCCTGTTGGGGGACTTTGGGGATTCATTCCAGCATCAGCCAAGGTTAACAAGGCTTCTGGGTCCCAAGAAACAAGCAGCTGCAGCATGAGACATTGTGGGAAGTTTTGACAAATTCATTTAGAAAATGGCAGGACTTTAGAAATTTCATTCCACTTCCCACTCACTCCCTTTCATAAAAAAATCCACATTTGTTTCATCCTGATCTGGAATTAGCCTTTCTCAGTGTTAGAGCAGCAATACATTCTTTTGCCCCCATCTTCCTTCAGGCGTCTTACTGAACTTTTATAATCTTTCCCATGAAAAAATATATGTAAACACATAGACCTAAAGAATATTCCCATTACTAAAAATATTGTTTACAGATATATAAACCTAAAGCAAAATTTTAGTACTACAAAATATATACATGGGCACTCTTGACCCATGGATGTTGTCCACAGCTCAGTTCATAAGTCTACCTACTGTAAGAAGAAATTGTAAAAGGGTGTTTAATGAGCAAGTATAATGAACAAATATCTCCAGAGATTACCTTATGTGGGACAGAATTTTGCTGAAAGGAGGTGGAACTGAGTGTTGCCTGTTTAGTCAGGGACCTGAAAATCCAGAAAGAAAATAGAAGCTTTGTCTTTTTGCAATCCTCCCTTTTTCTATTATACAGTCTCAGCTGTACTACAAATAGGAGAAGCAGGCCAATCTCACTTCCAGGAGAAAGGAGAAAGTACTTTCTTCTTTCATCTCTGGCCTTTCTACTCCTTCATAACAGGGAAGCAGTACTGCCTAGAGCAGCAAAGGCTGTCCCCAGGCAGTATGACCCTAGGAACAAACAGGGTATGTCTCCTCATCTCCAGCACAAACCAACTTCTTCCTCTGAAGGAGAAGGGGCTGTTCTGATGAACTTGGAGCATGCAAAAGATGCCAAACATCCCATGCCCTGTTACCTGTGCTCCTTCTTTGCCCTCATCCTGCTGCTGTCCCTCTCATGAAGATTTTTCTCCTTCTCTTCCAATGAAGAGTGACTGCAGCCCTCTTATTAAACATTCAGGGGCACACTGACATCTTCCTTGTAAAACTGGTAACCACTCATGTTTCATGGTTACAGTGATTAATTTTACAAGATGCACAACAAAATGCACTCATTCTCAATAAAATGCACAAAGTGAGAGAGCACTCACAGTGCTTACTAATGGGCCTCAGTAATGTGCATTCTCTTGGCCTGTGCACTCAAAAACTTAATAATTCATAATAAGCCTTCAAAGTAAATATAAACTACATCTGCCTGAAATAGTTCTTAGTAATACTGCTTGGTACTCCATGACACTTTTGATACCCTGTCTGAACATTTGCTTATGGAGGTCAATGTACCTTTATGCCACACTCTTCTTTAATTAGAAACAAAACAAAAAAAACCCTTTGCTAACAATTTTGCAAACCTGCATGACTGAGAGGCTGGTGGCAAATTTTAAATAAATTGCCACAATATCACTTTTGAACATGAAATTCAGTAGCTTCTGAACATTTTACTCTAAGATATACATGAGCTTTCTGCTACTTACCTTCCATGCCAGATTTCCTAAAGGCACAATATAAATCTCAATCATAATTTTACATTCCTTCTTTGTCTCTTTTTCTCAGAATTTTCTGAGAGTCAGCATTGGCTTGTGAGCTTTAACTGTTGCGTTTGAACAATGTGTGCACAGGGATATAAAGTGCCCACCTATACAAATTCAACAGAATAAAGTATATCTAAAAGGAAGTTCATCTGTAATTAAACTGTACAGAGTCACATGCTAATTTAACCCCATGCTGTTAGCCTTAGTATTGGTTCTAAATAACTAGCATTTTTACCTCTACAGTTGCTTATTATTGATGGACAGCAGCTAAGAAGTGACCCAGCTACTGTGATGGATGAAGTGCAGAAGTTTCTTGGAGTCTCTCCTCATTATAATTACTCTGAAGCTCTAATGTGAGTCTGTTCCTTTACTCTCTGGCTTACGGGATCATGCTGTACATCCCCACTTGATCATTAATTATAATTAATAAAAAAAAAATCCATAACAACACTAATTTTGCAAAGCTTGGGGTTGTCTAACACCCCTCCAGTTTTCCCTTAACTTGCAGGTATATAACACATTACAGAATTGATGACTGCATACATTCCCATTCCCACATGCAAACTCTACTTTGCACAACATCCAGAACAAATACCTACACGATCTGTTGTATCAGATGCAGAATGAACATACAGCTTTATGTAAAAACACATCTGCTAAGTTTGAGTGTCCGACCTGAGGCACTCAGTGCTTGTTTGCTATGGGTATCTGATTTGCTTTCATCACTGGACCATTTAAAATGTACCTTCTGCTGCAGTGAGCTGTGCACGTAAGAACTCAGCACACGTTTGTACATCAGACTGTTGAACGTTATGCTAGTCTCCAGAACCTGAAGACCACCTAGGGTCAGGTGTGAATAATTTGGCTAAAAGGTTGTTACCATATTCTTGTTGGAGTCTAATGACAGACACTGGGTTAGAATTGCCCAGTAAGAGAAGATTTGTTTGGTCATATAGTTTCTTGATAATTTCCTTTTAACATGGACCAAATTTATAATTTCCTAATCCCATTTTCATATATGGAAAGCCCTTTGATTGACTTCCCACAGCCTTTGGTTCAGATCTAGCAAAGGCAGCTATGATGAGCCCGATCACATTTCTCACCCTCATTACCTGGAGGGTGAAGTTTTCCCCATGCAAGGGGATCAATGGCCTGTGTGGTGCTCTGACTCTTCTCAGTTCCCCACAGGAAGGCAGAGTCTCTGCAGGGGCGGGAGGTGGGCTGAATTACTTTCTCCCCTCTTAAGCTGGCAGAAAATTGTAAGTAGCTTTTGTACTGAGCCTCTACACAGGAGGAGCATCATCCCATTACAGCCCAAAGTGCTGGGCTCAGAGAGCCCTGGAACATCTATGTGCTGAGAAGCCTGGCACTGCAGTAGGGGATTTTGCCAAGTCAGTGTGCAAGCAGAAAGCATGAGCCTGCATGTGGGGTGGGAAATAGCAAAGCCTGTACCTTACCTTCCCTGATGGCTGGTACCAGGAAAAGTGAGGGGAAAAGGAGATCACAGGCTTTCCAGCAACCCCACACAGCCCCCTCTCTGCTCATGATTGCTTAATGTTTCTTTCACCAGGAGGGTTCTGGTTTTTCATACAACAGGTTTAAAGAGAGAGTTGAGTGCTTGCTGGTCTTTGGGCCTTAAGAATGTTGCTGTGCCAAAATCTTTTTCTAAAGGAAAAATTTTAGATTTGACAATGTAATTTTTTAAGTCATTGTTTTCCAATGTAGCTGAAATAGAGGAGGAGTTTGAGTACACAGCTGAACTACTGATCTTTGAATAACTGCTGCCACACATCTGCAGTGCCTTCTGCTTGGGTTTTTAAATACACACCCACATACATATATCCTCTTTTCTGTAACTAAATTAAAGCCAGCAGAGTCAGACACCAGGAACAAACTTCGGCCTCCTATTTGTTTGGACAGGAAAAATGGATTGTAAACACATCTATAAAATTATGCAATCACTTTTTAGAGGCAACAAGAATGCAAATGTGCTGTGGGAGTACACACTTCTGTACAGATTTAGGATTTAATTGAAAAATGTACTGAACAATGTAGTCACTTTATGGTAGGACTGCCAAAGTAAAAAAGATTGCATAGGATCGCTCCTTGTCATTACTGACTAATAACTGTACACCACAGATTTTTAAAGTTGTCACAAAGAAGCCTGAGGACCCAGACCTGCAAACACTAGGGAGCAACAAGTTCATCACCCTGAGTAATTATGTGAACGTCTTATAGGAGAGTAAAACCAAAACCAGGCAGAAGGAAAGTACTAATCAGAGACAGCGGAAGAAGACATCAGAGGGGAGACAGACGAAGGGCTCAGGCATCTGGAGAGAATTGCACATCATGTCAGGTTAGCAAGAGCCACATCTGAGATGGGCAACTAGGTCATTGCTTCTTACACACACTGCTAAAGAGGACCTAGATTCAGACTAGATACAAGGAAGACATTCTTTACAATGAGGGTGGTAAGACACTGGCACAGGTTTCCCAGAGAGGTGGTAGGTGCCCCATCCCTGGAAGTGTTCAAGGTCAGGTTGGGTGGAGCTTTGAGCAACCTGGTCTAGTGGAAGGTGTCCCTGGCTCATAGCAGTGAGGCTGGAACGAGATGCCATTTAAATGTCCCTTCTAATCCATCTGTGATTCTGTGATTCCATGACCTGAGAGATCAGAGTAGTGAAAAAAAATGAGGAAAATCAACTAATGTTTCAAGGCTTTCACATGCAATGCCATCAGTCGACGCTAGGGTAACTCACAAAGCGCTAGGAGAGGGAAACTAGTCAGTTGTCTGCATGAAGTTCCCACTATGGCACTGAAGAGATGTTTCCCACCTCTCCCCCACCCAACTCGTTTTCACAGGGAGTGATTGATAGCTTAAAATTTTAAGTGCCTGAACTTTATGAACAGAAACCTAGGACAAAATGCCTTTTCCTCTAGCCTGGCTCCTCACACCATGCTCTGGCCACAGAGGCAGCTCAACATCCATAAGCCTCACAGAGGAGATTTCCCTCGTTTTCTCTCCTGTGAAGAACAGGAAGGAAAGGAAAAGGCAGGATTAGAGGAATGTGTTTAAAAAAATGTTTTCTCTTGGAGCACTGCAACATTTTGTCAGAGGATACCAGAAGGATCCTCATGGTGGCATTGTTTATCTCTGCCCCCAATAGGCACCCACCCTGCCTCTAGCATCAGGTATTGACTTCCCAAGAGGCGGGGTGAGAGTAAAGGTGTCCCGGTTCAGCCCTGCACCTCCCACAGCCTCGCTCTGTAGGGGAGGAAAAAGTAACCAGGCCTGGAGGAGAGGCTTCTGCTGGCTGCTTTAAAGAGCTCACTTGTAACATTACCCTTAAAACTATCACTATTTTCAAATAAATACTTCCATTGTGCCCAATTATCTTTTCACGGTTTTGAGAGTTTCACAATGCCTGAACGCCTTGATTGAATTCAGCCCTAGCTGTCTTACCCTCTTTTCCCCTACCCAAATCCATTCAATATGTTTCTTCTGAGGCAGAAATATTGTTTGGGGCACAGTTTTGCAGTTTTCCTTTCCCAGCACACTATATTGCTGCTTCTTTTGGGAAATTAGTGCAAGCCAGCACAAGTACTTCACCATACAACGAGCAGATGGAAAAGGCCAAAGCAGAAATGAATTTATCACTGATATAACTATTTAACCAATGATTTATTTATTTTTAATTGATACAGCTACTGAAGGAATTTAGGAAATAAGGCCTGCCATAAAGAGCTGGGCAAGAAAATGCGCAGAAGGTTCACCCTTCTCCAGAAATCAGTTCACTTACATACAGTGGCAAATTGCAGGTGCACCCATGTTGTACGGCTAGACCTAGGGCAACAAGATAGTCTGTAACCCATTAACAACCTGTTCCAGCCAATTCTACTTCATCCTTTTCAAACATCTGCTGAATAGCAGAAATCCAAACCTTGCCAATGTTTTATGCATGCTGCAAGTCCCGCAGCAATAAATTCAATACTTAACACTGCGTGTTGTTCATTCCTTAGTGAGTATGTGCTTTAAAGTCTTAATCTAAAATTCCTGTGAATTTTAGACATAGAAATCAAATTGTGTATTTCAGATAAGACTGCTAAGATAGTGTTTATGCTCTAATGCCATCTTTGGAATGAAAATTACATTTAGATCTAAAGATACGGAACCACCAGCTTCTCAGGTGCAGTTAAATTATTACCAATCAAACCACAGTTCTTTCAGTAGACCTGAACACTGCTTACTTCACTCAAAAATCAACATAAAACCTACCAATATTATATTTCTCATCATGTGGTAGTCACACAGTAATTACTTTTCTCTACAAGTAGACTGAGGGACTGAGCCCATGCCTGTGGAAGCCAGCAAATAGATGCTTGCCCTTTTTAACCCCTCTCACCTTGACAGTGCCAACCAGTGACAGCATCAGCTCCAGCTGAAGGATGGACAGCTGTCCTTTAGCACAGCTGGTGATGTCCTGAGAATACAGCACATCTAATTCCAGCGAAAGAGCTGATTAATTTTTTTCAGCAAAAAGTTCTTTCAAGTGTCAGTTGATCAAAACATTACCATCCCACAGGGATACATGGAGCAGTTTGACACTAATAAAATCTCTGACCAAAACCAGACAACAAAATATGAGTCACAGTCTGGACTGGGGCTGTGTAAGATCCTTGAGACTGAGGCTCAGGACTTTGACTGGCATCCTACAGATCAACACTTAAAACTTGTACCCTACATGCTGGACAAGAAGAATAATAACTAGCTAAACAAGCTAGTGTAGGTAAAGCACAATGTGAAAAACCTCTGACCTTGAGCCACTTCTAAACAAAATTTGTGGAAAAAAAAAATAAATTCCTGGAGCTTTCACAAGACAGGAAAGCCGTTTCCCACTCTGTCCTCAGTATTTCTGTCATCTAGAGAGATGTGGGCAGCAACACTTGCTGGCTAACACTGATGTCTCAGTAGTTGGACGATTATTCTGTAGTGAGGTCTTTAAAAAATATAATCCTCTACAGGTTTGACCCTCAGAAAGGCTTTTGGTGCCAGTTATTGGAAGGAGGGAAAACAAAGTGCCTGGGAAAAAGCAAAGGTCGGAAATACCCACCAATGGACCAAGAGGTAAGGGCTTTCCAGAGATTCAAGTTAACATGTTTGAATATTGACCTTCTGTTTGACTCCAAAACTAGCCACACTGAGCCCCTTGCTGGGAGCAGTGCATATCTCCTGGGTGGGTTTCCTTCCTTGACTGTTGTTTCTTTTTCTTTTTTCCCCATCCTTCTCAGTCTCGAGAATTTCTGTCGAGCTACTACAGAGACCACAACGTGGAGTTGTCCAAGCTGTTGCACAGGCTGGGGCAACCCCTGCCCTCCTGGCTGAGACAGGAGCTGCAGAAGGTCAGGTAGCACACAAGGGCAAGGGACCCAAATAAGGACGATTTTCTTCACCGTCAAACCCCTTGCTTCTCCAACTCACTTGTGATCATCAGTAGAGGACCTCATGAATAACACTCCACTAAAAAAAAAAACAAAATCCACAGAAGATTAATACCCACCCCACCCACTGACAGTACTGACAGATACAAGCATCGGACCCCTTTTGTCAGCTTTTGACAGATATGCAAATGCTGACAGATACAAGCATCGACCCCTTTTGTCAGCTTCCAGGAAATAATAGAGAGCTACATGGCATTATTCTTTATCGAGACCAGGATTTGTGCATAGCTTAGTCCCTCTATACACCAGGAAGTACCAGAAACTGTGTGTAGGATGGATTGACTTCAGCGTACATGACAAACTGCAGTCTGTCAGGACCTGAGCAAAGGATGGGAACATCTCCCACTGGACCGTGAGGTTGGTCATCCTCTGGGATTTTTCTGTGTTTGCTTCTGCTGGGTTTAATCCCAACCCTGCAAATTTTCCTATCATTTTATAGGGGGATATTCAGCAGTTTGCAGTTGGGATTCCTAATGGTCCTGCCATATGTAGAGTCAATACACCATCATTGCTTTCTCTACAGCAAAAGGTGGGCTAAATTCTCACCTAACCTGCTTCCCTGGGATTCCATTAATAACTGATGACAGTCTGTGTTCTTTCTTCCGTTGATCTGGGATTTTTTCCCCCTTTCACAAGAAGATATATCCCTATTTACTGGAGTTGTATCGGTGGTTGAGGTGCAAAGCAGCAAGGGGATGTCCTCCCAGATCTCAGTGAACTCCATTGCCTGCCTGTTGGACAGGGCTGCTTTGCCACCCAGAGGTTTTTCATCACACGTGTTGGCTTCCTACAGCAGACGTGACAAAGCTCCAAGACGTGAGATCATATCAAATGTTTTGTTGCAATGCCAAGGGACTACTCAAAACACTCCAAAACCTTTTAAAGTCTAAGCAGGGCATGCAACCAGTGTACTGACAATAATCTGATACCAACGATTTTTTTGTATCTGGAAAGCTGTGGGTTTTCTCCGAAGCTTTCAAAGTAAGCAATTAGGTTAGCCAGCTAGTGTCTCGGTCTGCAAGCTATTATAGAAAACAAACTTTAATGACCAAAGTATATGTTAAGGTTTTGAAAAAAACTACAGTCTGTTGAAGAACAACTGCCTTCTACAGACTTTAATGGCACTGAAAGGACAAGCATATCCACTACATATATATCACATATATGATGCCTAATTTTTATGTCTACATATTTACCTACAGTATCTCTCGATCAGACATATGCTTATACATATCTGCATTTTGTGCCGATGAAAGGGTGGTTTACCAGAAATACAGTATTAAGAACTGTGCTTTTTCACCAGATATGTGTGGGCAAGGTTAACAAGACTGGGCACAAACTTGCTGGGAAATTTAAGTCAAGGGAACAAATACCATTTAGACATTTTAGCATTGTAACACTTTTTCACAAGAATACCAAAGCTGCCAAAGCTTTGCTACATGTTCTTTATGCAGCACAAAACAGAGCAGGTTTTAGTTTTCAGACTTCCCTGTCTTCCTAGGCATAAGCCGTTTCAGGTGCTGCAGAGGCTTTGCGCTTTCTCCTCTGCATGAACATGACCCCTAACTCCTAACTCAGGAGACAGAACTGGACTTGGGGTTGCACCATCAATTCAGCCTAGTGAAAGCTAGCCTCAGGGAGCACAAATCAGTGGAAATCACAGGCTGTCATATTCAAGAGCATGTAAATTAATCAATTCCTGCTTCAAACCAGTTGATACATGTAGATATCCAACTTAACTTTACCAAATCCCTAAATCATGAGACTGTCCACCAAGATCATGACACTTTTTTGCTCTGGATTGGCAAGTCTATTGCTTCCCACAGCTATCCTGCTGCCACCCATCACACTCACAGCTTGACAGTGGCACCTCCTTCCTCCCACAGTGTTTCCTCTCACCCGGCCTCTCTCACTTTCCTCCACCACTGCCCACCTCAGCATGCCTGCCTGCTTCCTCCCTTCACACTATTCCAGTCCCTTTCTCAGTCCCAGCACAGCCTTGGTCCAGGTTTCTCTCCCATGTGAGGAGCTGGCACTGCCCTCCTTGGTCCATGGAGGAGGGGCTGAGGTGCAACCAGCACCAAGAACATACACAAACACACAGGAAAGCCTCAAAGACAGTCTTTCCTTTTAAATACTGATACGGGATTTATCTCACATCATTGAGACATCTACTTTATTTTATAGGTGATGAAGGGAAATAGCACTTCTAGGGCACCATTCATCTCATCACAAAGCAGGCTTCTTAAATGAGTAAAATTAATCTTGCTTCTTTCTCTCTATTAATTGAAAAAGGACAATAGACAACTCATTCGGAGGAAGAGCTCAGCTCTGTAAGTCTAAAACTAGGTGATCTGAAAAGAAGATGGTATTTGATCTCACAAATGAAGATGGGAGGGAGCTGTGAGGGTCTGAGGAAAGGTTTTGATTTTTATTTCCTGAAGTAATTTTTCTAGTTCCTATATTTTGAGCAGGAGAACAGCTGGGGCAAACCAAGAGTCAAATAAAAGGAACCTTGCGGGGAAGGGGAGGGGGCTTGGGCTGGCTTTTCTTTTTCTATTATTATTTTTACTGGGGAGGGTGGGGTGCCAGTTACATACTTTGTTGCAAATTCACACTCTTCACTTAGCACTGATAATGCCAGAGGTGACTAGTCTGATGAGAGTTTTTGATAAGTAAAGCTTGGTCAGAGAAGAATAGCTAAATCAACCATTTGATAACATTTTAGCTGCTAAAATGCTTTAGAAATGGCTCATTATTAATTAAAAGATGACTTCATAACTTCTGGATTAAAATCTAAATAAACATGAAATTGGTTTCAGAAGTTTTTCAAGGAAATGAGACAAACACCATAAAATGTGGGAAATTACTTCTTGTTCTTGGCTTTTCATTTAAAAGAAAAAATAATTAAGTGTTTCCATCTCTCAGCTCTGTAATAGCATCATGTCCTCAGAATACACTTGATATTTCTATACCACATTGTTATTTTTTCAGTTTGAATGGGCACCACTTTTCCGAGAGATCTCATGCTCCATTGAAAACCAACATTTGAATTGAGTTCATTATGTGTCATATAAAGATGAAATAACAGTATTTCAAAGTTTCATTTCTTCCACTTGTAATAGAACCCATCAACACAGAATTTCTCTGTACCACTGTCTTATAGAGGAGCCTTTGTGAACTCCCTATAAATGATCTCGTTTTCTTTCATGCCTTTCATATTGCTGACCACGTAATTGCTGGGATTCTTAAAGACCAGAAAAACAAATGCAATAAAAATGAAACAGTTATTCATGGCAGGGGGCCTGTTGCTAGGAAAGATAATGCTGGCCCTTCTTTGCTATTCATAAGCCACAGGATTTGTCTCCACAATATCTCCATGAGATGCAGGCTGTAAATCAATGAGTTTTACTTCGAGGAGGGCTGCAGCTGCAGTTTGCTCCCATTCCCCTGGAAATACAGGTTCCTGAAGAGGTTTGCAGGCACCTTCCCACACTGAGGATCTGATCTACTGCCTGTGCAGATTGGTGGGAGTCTATTAATTCCAGCAAACCACAGTGTCCTGGGTTCAGTAGTGGCAGTCATTGTTTCTCCTTCTTAGTAGCTGGTGCAGTGCTGTGTTTTTCACTTTCAGCCTGGGAACAGCACTGATAATTATGATGGTTTTAGCTGCTGCTCAGTAATGAAATTGCCATACCCTGCAGGTCCCCCTCTGCTCCATCCTCCCTGACTATGAGAAAAGTCTATAGGCCAGATAGAGGTGTCAGGATCTACAGCAGCATATTTGATGATTAAAGGAGGACTGCAGCCCTCAGAAAACCAAGCTTATATAATCAAGGTTGTCTTTGAGCAAGAAGCAATCAGAATGGAATCCAAAACCCTCTAATTATGCATTGACCTCTCAAGGTCAAAATAAAGTTGATGCATTAACTGCTCATAGATGTTTTCTAATAAAACAAATTTTCTCTCTGATACAGAATCAGACTGATGAGTGTCCCCAAAACAAATTAATATGGCAGACTAATAAATTCCTAGGGGAGGAAATTTTTGCGCAAAGTGCTGATAGGTCCAGACTCTCTGATGTATAATAAAGCAGCGGGGATGTGCCCTGAGCACATAAGCAGAAGCTGAATGTTTTCTCCTTTTCCTTCCCCCTCCTCCTCTACCTTCTTATTCGTGTTAAACTTTGAGCCAGCATAGTACATCTGAAAGGCACACAATGGCAGAGCCCATGAGACAGGGGAATATTATTCATCTCCAGAGCAACCAGCTGAGAATAAGTTAGATGTAGGGTGCTCCTTTCCCCTAAGCTGGGTCAACTTTAGTTAGACATCAAGTCATTTAGTTTCTATCAGTAGCAAATTATGTGTTTATAATGGGTTTCCAATTGATGTTTATAACTGTACTGTGAGCATGTGGCAGCTTTGTAAAAGAGGTACAACACAGGTATATAAACCAGGAGGGACCAAGTGTCTAGTTTTATTGTAGTTAAGTAAGATTAAGATCACTGCTGGTGTCAGAAGCTCTTGTTGCACATGCAATTCAGCTTTTCCATTTTAGCTCTGCAGTGCCATCTCTTACCAGCACGTGCTCTTTCTCTAGGAGTTGAAATGTCATATGATCACCTCGCTATCTTTACCCTCACTGATATCAGACAATGCAATTTAGCTTTAACAGTTTAGTCTTGTCTACCATTATATTAGTTTATATATCTCTGCATAAATCTGCCAGGAATTGTTGCCTCAGAAACTTTTGTTTAAGTGTATGTTCTTAGGACAGGAATTTCCCTGTCAGACAACATTTCTTACATTCTCTTTATTTTTTCTTTCTTCCCTTCCAGTTTATCCTTTTAGTGCGACTGCAAAGGTGTGGACCTGCCTATGGATGCGGTTCCTCTACCACTATCCCATCTAGAAAAGCTGCCAGAACTAAATAAGGATTTGCAAGCAATGCAGATTCTGAAGTATTCAGTGCTCCAGTGACTGGATAACTTTTCTAAGACTTCTTGTAATTTCTGTACTATTTCAGTACAAAAGACATCTTGATAGAGCTGAGGAAAAATTCCTCTGTCCTGCCCAAGCTCTTTTCCTTGCCTTTTTTTTTTCCTTTATCCTCCTATGTGACAACAGCAAGTCCAGTTGAACAAGTATTTGGTGTTGAAGAGAAAGGAGACCAAAAGACATTTGGATCACATGAAGTACCTTTCTGGGGGGGAGGGGATGGGGTGAGGGTAGGCGGTGTGGGGCTATGGGGGAAGTCAAAGACAGTTTGCTAGAATTGTTTAAAATACTTGATGTGCACACACCTTATTATTGGTTCTTCTCACTGCCGCAGAATAAACACTTCTGAAGGTGTCTTACAGAGAGAGCTTTTCTTCTTTCCTCAAATCCTCTCTCCCATTTTCTGAGCCAAAATCTACTCTTCAGTAATCCCTGCCATATACTTCAGGTGGCGCACTAACTCAGCTTCTCCTGCCTCACCAACTGATAAGACCTTCACACCTTCTTGACACAGCAGCCCCAATACCATGGGATTTACAGAACCAGCACTGGGAGTGTGTCGTGGTTTAAACCCAGTCAGGTAACGCGTCCACTCAATCCCCCCCTTCTTTCCCTCCCCCTACTCCTGGAGGGACGGAGAGGAGAATCGAAAAGAATGCAACTCCCACGGGTTGAGATAAGAACAGTTTAGTAACTAAAGTATAACACAGATCACTACTGCTACCACCAATGATAATAAGGACAAAGGAAATAACAAGGGAAGAGAATATAACACCTCAGCACCAGCTGACTGATAACTCGCCCCCCAAGCCCGACCAAGCTCCGACCGATACCTCCTCCAACCCTGCAGTCTCCCAGCCCTTCCGGCTAACTCCCCGTTACATCCTGGGCATGACGTGCTGTGGTATGGAATACCTCTTTGGTCAGTTTGGGTCAGGTGTCCTGTCTCTGCTTCCTCCTGGCTTCCCCTCCTCCATGGCAGAGCATGAGGCTCACAAAGTCCTTGGCCAAACCAAAACATCGCTATCAGCTCTGTTCCCAGGCCAAAAGTCAAAACACTTGCACTGCACCAGCTACCAAGAAGGAGAAACATGACTGCTACTGCTGAACCCAGGACAGAGTGCCATTGCCTGTGTCCTCCGCCTCCCTCCTCCTTCCATCTCCCAGGCAAGGAATATGAATTCAGGCAAGTCTGACACTCAGATGTCTGTTACGCTGCATAAGACACAGTTATGGGCCTGTCTTTCAAAACTGTGACCCACCTCCCCGCATGAGAGGTGTGGATATTCTCACAGCCCTGTGTAGGCTTTTTCTCTAATTACCACATCGTTTTTTTTTTCCTCTGCTCTGTTTAAGGAATCTGAAAACCATCCAGTTTCAGCTGATGCAAATCACCTTGAATGTGGCTCCAACTATGCGCTCAGAATGATGAGATAGTGATTTCAGCCCCCCCTCCAACACCATAATGCATCTAGTTTTTACTGTAAAATATTCATTTTCTTTACAGATCTATGTCACAATCAGGTTAAATCATACCAGAGTCAAGGATTCTTAGTACGAAACTTACAGAATAGCAAATCATGCCTCACTAGAGCTTTTATCGTTAAGCAAATCAGAAATGACACTACAGTATCTTAATACATGCTTCGGCTTTTTTCTGGATGTGCTTGATGCTTTCGGACAAGGGAGACATGCTAGGTAAAATTTTCAAAATATTTTAAAACTTTAAGTATGTTCCTAAAAATAAATAAATAAACAAAATCACCTGTAGGCCCTTAGAAACTAAAAAGGAATCAGCTTTCTATCATAATTATTTGGTATCAATGGGGTCAGACAGGCAATTTTAAAAGCCCTCACGGACATTCACCTGTCTGCTGCTCTGGATCCCAAATGCCTTTATACATCTAAATTAGCAGATTACTGGAGAAAGAGAAAAAAAAAACAAACCCAAAGGGCAATTTTTTTTTTTTCCCCCTGTCACTGAGATGTCCCTGCCTTTTCTTGGCCATCTCATGCATTTCTTTACTATTCCCTGAGTGGGAAGGAAGACATGAGGAAATTGCATCTGAAAGCCACCAACAAACCCAAATGGGTTTTGCCTAAGTCAGGAATCTTTCCAGGCTCCATCAAGCTTCATGCCTGAGTTACTCAGTCAAAGAATAGTTGAGTTCTTACCAAAATTTACCAGTTCTATTAAGTTCATTAAGGTTTGCATATTCCCTTCTAGCTTCTGGAATCAGACTATTCTGCACTCCCAGACCACTGGAAACCTGGAAGCACTAAATAAACTTCTGAGCTCATCTGTTTGTGGAAAAGGTTTCTTCTATGTGCAGTTTGTGAGAGGGGAGAAAGACCGATTTTCTTTTAAAGCATGTAAATATCCAAATTCCAGTTAGAAACTGATTTATAGAACTACAGAAGTGAATTCTACATGTAATTTATACCCCTGTTTGCATCAATGAAGAGTTAAAGACTTCCTAGGGAAACCAGATTGCTATTTGTATTTCAGTCAGCTGCAGCTGTTGGGTGGGGAGAAAAACCGCTTAAAATATCTAAATAAACCCATATTTGCCACTTTGGGTTTACAAAGCTGTTTGTCCTGATACAGCTAACTGCAACCAAACATGGACTAGTTTCACAGTACTCTTATTTCTTTGGGAAAAGAAACGTGACACTTTGATGCACAGATCTGTTTTCATCACAGAAGGTCAACCAGCATTATGGACTGGAAGTTAGAATTGTCCTGGGTTTTTTCAGAGGTTATTTTCAGCCAGAGGAAGGTCAGCAGTGGGTGGAGTGGGATTCTTTCATGTAAGATGCAATTCCATAAAGTCTATGGTGGTTGAAAAATGTGCTTTATAATTTGGGAGATAACTGCATGACATTAAACTGACTTTGTACTTGCTACTCTTCTAACTGTGGTGTATGCTCTGCATCTTGCAGGACTTCTCTATAAGACATATTCCCTGTTGGGTAATTAGCTTCCCTTTATAGTATGATCAAAACATCAAGAAAGAGCTGGACATATGAGGGGATGAGTTTCTACAGAACTTACTGTGAGGCAGATACTCCTTTACAGAATTTTTCATTTTTTTTCCACTGTTTGCCTCAAGCGAGGGAGTCATCTCGGTATTAATCTGCACACTCTCCAAAGACAGGCAATTCCCATTAGCATCATTGATGATTAAATATTCTTATGAAGGAGAGAATAAACTCACCAAAGGAAATTGTTATTTTGTAACACTGTAGTTACACAGCACATTTTCCTGCAAAGCTTTGTGTAGTCACACCAAGTAAGCAAAGAAAAATTGTTCTGCAATGTTAAGCATTTAAAATTTCATAGGCAATATGTTTTTTAAAAAAGGAAGAAGCAAACCCCACCTCTTGGGTACCCCATCATGACTAAGGATTGAAGGAACCCAGTGGTTTTATTGATATGAAACTCACCATGGTCTACGTAGCTGAAGAGACCCCATATCAAGACCTAAAGCCAAATTCTCTATTGCTCAGGGTCTATGCTAGGCAGGAAACCCAAGCCATGCCTTCCAGCCCCCTGAGACACAGCTAAAACAGCACAACTCATGGTTGAGGAGGGCCTACATCCAGTGCAGGCTGTATGTGGCACCCTGTATCTCTATTCCCCCACAGTTCCCAGATGTGAAAGTCACCTGGGCAGCTGCTGAACACTCATGTCAAAATGTACAGACTGAAGGTGGATCCCTGCTGCAAGGGGACCTCTAATCTGCCCTACAGGATTGGGAAGGAGACTAAATCCTACCAAGTCCCTGAGTGTTATCATATCCACAACTCCATGAGATTTCTATACTGCACCTGGCAATAAAAATGAATATTAACTGAACCAAAGACTTTTTATATAGAAAAATAAAAATATGTATTGAAATAGTCTTTGCTTAAATTTATTTATTATACAGCTATACAAGGCTCAAATTTTTTGTTTAAGGAGAAAGTTTTCTGTCTTAAATATTTGTGGTTTAGTGTCCTCCTGAAGAGCCTTCTTCCTTGCTATACTGCAGCATGCTTCCCCCTCCATTCCTTCCCCCCTATCCACCCTCCTTGGGACTACTTCTTGGGACTACCCAAGATCTATGATTTTACCTCTACATTTCAATACCAACTGCCTGCCTTTCTGTACTAATTTCTTCTGCTCCTACCTTTTAGGGGAAAAAAAAAAAAGAAGCAAATCTCCCAAGTAAGCATCATCTTTCATTTCCTAAGCCATGCTCACTTTAATTAAACATTCTAGTTAATTAAGACAATATGTTCTAGAAGCGTGCGGAGGCTTTCTACATTATTGCCACACTCTGTACCCTCTTCAGATGCCCAGCACCATTCAGTGAAGCTATTCGGTTATAAAGCCAGGCAGAGGTGGATGGCACCCTGTGTAAATCTGCTACCATTAAGTTGGGAGCTGCAGTGAAATTATAAATTGTCATTTTAAGTAGGAAGAACATTTTTATGGATCCTGGTTCATTCTCTGCAGACTTCAGCTATTTCCAGTAACTGCCACACAGAACACACTAAAATTTGTCAGCTGCTTGGAATAGGAGAGAATTGAGCCTGGAGACTTAATTCCCTTCAATCTTCTTAAAAGATATGATCCAATACCTAAAGATAAAATACACTGCCAGCTTAGGAAGATACAGGGAAGCAATCCAAAGCAGCCAGGACAATCAGGAGAGACAAGCCCCTTTGCACAACACTAAACCTCATTTTTCCAAAGCTCAGAGGCATAGCCAGGACATCACCTCTCTTCTTTCCCTCCATGTTTGAAGAGTTGGCTGAAGAGAAATATTTCAAGGCTTGCCTGGATCACTGCAGGAAGCCATAGCATAAGTGCTATACCACAGACCATGTTGTTGTGGTCCTTCTAAAGCCAATTTCATGAGAAGCAAATGTCCAGCACCCCCCCCCCCAGCACCATGTGAGACAAGCTAAAATACAGAATTTTGACAGACACATTTTATACTAGTGACATCGTGCTCCAGTGTTTTTGCTCTGATGTGGAAAACACCTGTATAATGGAGAATTTTTATGAGCACAAGAGCCTGCTCAGCAGCTCAGGGTTTTAGTAACAGATCCTAAATCACCATTTCTGTAGTGCTGCAGGGTTTTATTTCAGAATAGCTCTACATTTTCATAAACCTCAAGTAATTTTTCTGAAGTCTTTGCACATGACAGAGCCAGCCACTAA